GTCATTACGAAAACTGTGCTCGTGTCTTTCATTTCTCCTGCGCTGCAGCTTCCGGTTGTCTTATGGAAATCAATAATCTTGAATTACTTTGTCCTACACATCTGGATGAATTGCATGTTCTGTGTAAGTCATAATTTACTTTTTCATATTTATCGTCTATTTGCCAGCTTATTTTTAGCTTACTCTTTTCGCATAGCTTCTATCATAGGTTGTGTACTATGTGAGACTGTCGGAGACTTGTGTGAATTGATATACTGTACTGGCTGTGGAAGTCATTTTCACAATTCCTGTCTTGAACCGCCATTGATACTCAGTCCTACTGTCAGAGTTGGTTGGCAATGTGCAGAATGTAAAACCTGTCTGATTTGCAAGTGAGTTTTGCTTTTATTTGATTTATTTCGTTCTTTAAATTTAATCTTATTTTATATGTATGGTCTAGCTTGTTTTCTTATTCTATTTGCTTAAGACGGCCAAAATTTTTACGTGATCTCTTGCCTACTTTCTTTGTTATTGGTCTCATTGATCCCTGTTTACTCGGATCGCTTATTATAGTCCCAGGTGTTTTTAGACGTAATCTCTACTAGCAGTGAAAATAGCCAAATAAAGCATTTTATAAGGACCAGTAAGTGATTCTGGTTATAATTGTGACTCACTTTTTCTAATTGATGCCTTTTAAAAGTTTATCAATCTTATGACATAAAGAAGCCTGAAACCTATTGAACTTTTTAAAGTCCATATGTAAACATAAACAAGTTGTCAAGACGGTTGGGTTGCCTATGTAACGGCATACCGCTAATAAGCAACTAGCCATACAATTTTGGTTGTGATGGTTTTTCCATCTTTTTTTTGCTTGGGAAAATTAATTTATCGTTAATGTCTGTATTTGAGGTTGAATTGTTATAATCTTACACTTCAGCCATGCATTATGCTCAATGATTTTTCCGCCAAATTTCCTTTGTTGATTGCTCTTACCTCATTCTCAATTTTGTACACTTTATAAAGCGAAAACAAAGATGAAAACAAAATGCTTGTGTGCGACGTCTGCGATAAGGGCTTCCACACCTACTGCTTAAGGCCTCCTGTGGCCAGCATTCCTAAGAATGGCTTCAAGTGCGACCGTTGCAGAGTCTGCTCCGACTGTGGGGCCAGTCGTGCTGCTCTTTTGAATGCAGCTGCCAATGCTACCGGGCTAGGTGTTGGCATTGAATCTAGTGGTTGCTCTGCAGCTCCACCTGGAGCTCTCTCAATGCCAGCATTTAATCTGCACTCAGGGGCCCTTTCAGGAGCGAATGGAGCAAGCAGCACAAATTCATCTGCAACTGCAATGATTGGAGCACCTGGAAGCTTGGGGAATAGTAGTTCAGGATCATCGACATCTACATTGGCAGCTAATCAGGCAAATTTTGCGTTTTTCCTTTGTCTCAATTTTGATTATTAGATCTAATTTCTCTATAATATACAATAATTTGTACCCATACAATAACAAGGTCCTTAGATAGGTTGCTCTAAAAAGAGCTGAACGAGATTGTCTCAATTTATATTCATAAAAGACATTTAAAATAATCTTTCTCAACTTTTCGACCAAGGAGGTCTACGATGCTCCTTGCACAATAATCTACTTCTTTCGATATTCGATTTTAACACGGTTAGTGACTACACTATTTCTTTTACTGAATTGTTTGATTGCATACTTAATATCCTACGGCACTTTTATTCATTCGACTACTAAAGCAAGTTGGGCTCGATGAAATCACACTTAATTGGGTTATTTTAAAACTTTTGTCGATCCTTACTTAACAGTTTTATTGTACGTTCATTTATTATGGAATCGCTCGGGAAATTGAAGACTTGTTTTTAAATTTTATTGTCAAATGCATTTGGCGGTGTGTGGATAGTTTTCTACATGGAAATCCTCAGTACATCCTTTCCCAACTACCCAATGCCTTCTATATGACAGGAAATCTGCTAGCTTTAGCTTGCTATAGGTGCGGCTACTGCTTGGTTACTGGCAAGATACGTCGTATTATAGTATCCATTTAATATCCTATTTTGTTCGATTACAATGCATAATTATTTATGATTTCGTTTATTTTATTTATTTTTAAAGCTCATATAATTAAGTTGATTGTACAAGCCTTAGTTTTGATGATTAAAATATGAAGCGTCCACTTAGTGGTCTTCTTTATCTGCCTTCCATTACTACACGATTTGAAGGGTCAATCTACTTTATGGCTTATTTGAATCAGCAGTATCATGCATTTTGATTTATCTCAGCTTTCCATTTCGTAGAAGAAGTTGATTAGAAGGAATCTGTTAATTTTCATGAAGTAAACACTTAATTTTGTGCGAATAATTCCTCTGTTCACTCTGCTGTGACTCCGATAAAACGGTCAGGCTTTCGTTTATACTATGATGGACCTCATCGGAGCAAGAAACCATAATCAAATGGCGCATCAATATACTAAACATGTTGTCGGCTGATAACCTACTCATTTATTGTGTTGGTTCGACTCTGTTTTCGCAACTCGTTTGGAGCGTCAGGGAGACCTTGTGGAATGTACCTAGTCCCGTGTCATCTGCCATAGTATTCGTGATTTCCATCATTTAACCAATGGCTGGGTACTTTACCAAACGGTTGAACGGAAAATTGATCATACCCATTGCCTTTACTTGTCACTTTGATAAGTTGTAATTTTGTGCTTACGATGCCGCCTCTCAATAACGATGCCTGCGAAAAGTTTGGACTGTACCCAGCCTATGGTTCAATACTAGAAATCACGAATACTATGTCAGAGGACACAGGACTAGGTACATTCCACAAGGTCTCTAATGCGCTGAACAAGATCGAGCCAACACTATAAAGCTAACTGAGACTTGGTCTTCATATCTAGTACTCATTTCTTATTCCTCGTTTTACGAGGAAGTTGTGTCATGAGATAGATGATAACCCGACTTAGGCTATGCCAGCCTCCTACCCTGTGGTTTTTCCTGTTCACTCTCTTTATATATACTTATTTATTTATATAATATGCCCAAACTGCAACCTCCTCCGATCCCTCGACTCGATCTACCGATTTGTTTCATCAAAATACCAAGTCTTGCAAGCGTTATGTCCTTCATAGCATCTCATAAATTAGGTAAATCACTTAAGCTTTCTTCGAATTGATATATTTAAATACACTAGGAAGCTGACTACTAGAGGCTGCAAAAGATGTAAATCATATCTGTTGTCATCTTGAATGTTAGGATATAGTTGACTCAATCATGTAAACATATTTGATGTACATGCCTTCGCCTTACACAATCAGATAGCTACAATCGTCTCACCTTCCATGAAAGGGACAGTAGCTATCTCATTATGCAAACTGAAACTTACGCCTGAAATTTTATGTTTTTTATTTGACTTCTCCCTGAAAGGATAATCCCAAGGACATCTGGCTTGCATTTTTACTCTTTTCAGTCTCTAAAATATCTTTGACAATTTTTCTATTGGTTTATATATTCTTTTTTTTCGATTATACTATTTTTCGTTAGGTCACACTACCAAGTATATCGAACGGGTATTTTTTAAACTTTGACGGATTTTCATCATTATACCATACAATATTACTTTAAGTCTCTCCTCCATTATCTTCTTACCTAACACTTTCTTTTTATTTAGTATATTTTCCGATGTTATATGCATGACTTTATTTTTTTATTTGCATTGCTTTTTTAATAAAGCTTTATGGGTCATAACTAACAGTTAAAAAGACAAATAAATTTTAAATAAACAAGATATTAAGACCAAGGTGTTGTGGCCTCTATTTGGGTCGCAGTCTCCTTTCGATGCATATAAGTGGTATGACCTCGTTTTCGCAACTTGGTCATTGATAACTACTATAGTAGAGGAATTCGGACAAGATGGGTCTAAGTCGTCCTGGCAACGCGACCACAAGCTCAAACCACTACCATTAAATAAGGAGATTTGAATTTTACACTTGAACTTGGTATAGTTTTATTTTTCGAATTTATATTACTAAAAGTAGCCACATTTTTATCTTCTTAATTTTAGTCTCTTAACATCAAATGGCACTGCAACTACACTCTCTGTGATAAATGTTTCCATTCTCGAAAACGTCCAAATGTCTGTTGCCCAGTTTGCGAACGAGTTTGGCGCTGCTCTCTTCCGGTGCGTAGGAATACTTTTTATCTTCGTTTTTAGCATATAATTATATTTATTGCTTGAATTTTGAGCAACTATACTATATACTGCATATGAAAGGGTATTTCTAACTAATATTTTTCTCTGAGCAGGTTAATTTAACTTATGTGTAAGCAATATTTCACTTAGGCTATTTCAGTTACCTGTGAGAAGCAGTTTTAGTGATTATTTCAGTTTTATAGGCAAATAGTAATTTTTTATTTTAGGTAGGTGTAGGTATATTATGCAAGGGGAGTCCCCATCTTTGAAACTCACCAACCACTTAGTCTTTGTAGGAGTCTTTCATAAATAATTCATAATCATTTTTCAAGCACAAACTGATCTCTATTCGGAAATTTTTGATACTAAGATTAAACGTTATCATATATAATATTCTAGAATTTGTTTGAGTGTAGAATTTTTAATTGCCCAATCCTATTTTTTGGTCGAAATCATAGTTATTATAGGACAGAAATGATCTGGAAGCCCACCATTAATTAGCGAAATAATTAAGCTGCCTTCTAGCGAC